TTAGACCTTGTTTCAGTCCTGGTTTTGACTTGGTTTAGACCTTGTTTCAGTCCTGGTTTAGTCCTGGTTTAGACCTGGTTTCAATCCTGGTTTAGTCCTGGTTTAGACCTTGTTTCAGTCCTGGTTTAGTCCTGGTTTAGACCTTGTTTCAGTCCTGGTTTAGTCCTGGTTTAGACCTTGTTTCAGTCCTGGTTTAGACCTTGTTTCAGTCCTGGTTTAGTCCTGGTTTAGACCTTGTTTCAGTCCTGGTTTAGTCCTGGTTTAGACCTTGTTTCAGTCCTGGTTTAGTCCTGGTTTAGACCTTGTTTCAGTCCTGGTTTAGACCTTGTTTCAGTCCTGGTTTAGACCTTGTTTCAGTCCTGGTTTAGACCTTGTTTCAGTCCTGGTTTAGACCTGGTTTAGACCTTGTTTCAGTCCTGGTTTAGTCCTGGTTTAGACCTTGTTTCAGTCCTGGTTTAGTCCTGGTTTAGACCTTGTTTAGACCTTGTTTCAGTCCTGGTTTAGTCCTGGTTTAGACCTTGTTTCAGTCCTGGTTTAGACCTTGTTTCAGTCCTGGTTTAGACCTTGTTTCAGTCCTGGTTTAGACCTTGTTTCAGTCCTAGTTTAGACCTTGTTTCAGTCCTGGTTTAGTCCTGGTTTAGACCTTGTTTCAGTCCTGGTTTAGACCTTGTTTCAGTCCTGGTTTAGTCCTGGTTTAGACCTTGTTTAGTCCTGGTTTAGACCTTGGTTTCAGTCCTGGTTTTAGACCTTGTTTCAGTCCTGGTTTTACCTGGTTTAGACCTTGTTTCAGTCCTGGTTTAGTCCTGGTTTAGACCTTGGTTTCAGTCCTGGTTTAGACCTTGTTTAGACCTTGTTTCAGTCCTGGTTTAGTCCTGGTTTAGACCTTGTTTCAGTCCTGGTTTAGACCTTGTTTCAGTCCTGGTTTAGACCTTGTTTCAGTCCTGGTTTAGACCTTGTTTCAGTCCTGGTTTAGACCTTGTTTCAGTCCTGGTTTAGACCTTGTTTCAGTCCTGGTTTAGTCCTGGTTTAGACCTTGTTTAGACCTTGTTTCAGTCCTGGTTTAGTCCTGGTTTAGACCTTGTTTCAGTCCTGGTTTAGACCTTGTTTCAGTCCTAGTTTAGACCTTGTTTCAGTCCTGGTTTAGACCTTGTTTAGACCTTGTTTCAGTCCTGGTTTAGTCCTGGTTTAGACCTGGTTTCGGTCCTGGTTTCTTCTGTTTCTTACTAATTAAATCCTCGTTGATTCATCAGTTTCATTCATAAAATCGTTCGTTTGTGGAAATCACCTTTTACACCAAAATCCCTCAAACCCACGACAGAAACACCATGAAACTGAAACTGAACTGAGACGCCTCAGGGGAAAACAGATCTGCGTCGCCGTAGTCACGGTTATAAATAGTAGTAATAGTACTGGATATGCAAATGAGCCACGCCCACATTATGCAAATGAAAGAACAGGCGATTTGAAGGAGGCGCAGTACCAGAGTTCACCACCAGAGGGACAGAGGCGCAGAAATTTAACTGTTTTAAATCTTCACTGTGGAAATACTCAAACTTTATTAAAACAATCCAACAGAAACCAACTGTACGAGGCTCCGCCCACAAGCCCACGACAATTCTCCATAAATACACAAAATTAAAACACAAAACTGGACACAACAACTTGACAAACCCGACGCGACACAAACTTTAGACAAAAACTACGTCACCTGTTTGTGCTGTAAAAAGTTTAGTTTGTGCTGTTTTAGTTTTGGAAATATTCACGATTCTTTTAGACGACATTTTCAGGTCGTCAGCTCCAGGAAGATTGAACGAGCTCTAAAACGACACAACACGGAGTCACTCGTTTGGGTTTCGTTTGTGAGATTATCCAAAAGGTTTAGTCCTGGTTTAGTCCTGGTTTAGACCTTGTTTAGACCTGGTTTAGACCTGATTTAGTCCTGGTTTAGTCCTGGTTTAGTCCCAGTTTAGTCCCAGTTTAGTCCCAGTTTAGACCTTGTTTCAGTCCCGGTTTAGACTAGGTTTAGTCCTGGTTTAGTCCTGGTTTAGTCCTGGTTTAGACCTGATTTAGTCCTGGTTTATACCTGGTTTAGACCTGGTTTAGTCCTGGTTTAGTCCTGGTTTAGACCTTGTTTCAGTCCTGGTTTAGACCTGGTTTAGTCCTGGTTTAGACCTTGTTTCAGTCCCGGTTTAGTCCTGGTTTAGACCTTGTTTCAGTCCTGATTTAGTCCTGGTTTAGTCCTGGTTTAGTCCCAGTTTAGTCCCAGTTTAGTCCCAGTTTAGTCCCAGTTTAGACCTTGTTTCAGTCCCGGTTTAGACTAGGTTTAGTCCTGGTTTAGTCCTGGTTTAGTCCTGGTTTAGACCTGGTTTAGACCTGGTTTAGACCTGGTTTAGACCTGGTTTAGACCTGGTTTAGTCCCAGTTTAGTCCCAGTTTAGTCCCAGTTTAGTCCCAGTTTAGACCTTGTTTCAGTCCCGGTTTAGTCCTGGTTTAGTCCTGGTTTAGACCTGGTTTAATCCTGGTTTAGTCCTGGTTTAGTCCTGGTTTAGTCCTGGTTTAGACCTGGTTTAGACCTGGTTTAGTCCTGGTTTAATCCTGGTTTAGTCCTGGTTTAGTCCTGGTTTAGTCCTGGTTTAGACCTGGTTTAGTCCTGGTTTAGTCCTGGTTTAGTCCTGCTTTTAGACCTTGGTTTAATTTCACAGTACAATAATATTTTCTGTGATATTTTGGAGCAAAGGATCATGGTCTATGTAGTTCCTCTGTGTTTTTAACTCTTCATTTAAACAAAGACACTTGTGATTCGATTTATTGTGATGCTCCACGATGTTATTGTGAGAACTTTGACGATACGATTTCACCATATTCCAGTTATTGTTCCATCCTCAGTGATTCTGGTTCTAAAGATATTTTCAGTTTTATTTTGGGCCGATGACTCAAAATGTGAAACTGCCTCAAAACAACAGAAAATTAAACCAAATGTTTATTAGTTTTTAGTCACTCACTTTTGATTAATAGACAACGACTTTAACAAAACTCCACAGAACGAGCGAAGAGACGAGTGAGCGTCTGTGGAAAAGTCTGAGTTATTATAGAAAATATGAATCAAAAGTGACTAAAAACTAACACAAATATTTGGTTTAATTTTCTGTTGTTTTGAGGCAGTTTCACATTTTGAGTCATCGGCCCAAATTTTCAGCTGAACAGAAATGACCAAAATATAATTAACACAAAAATATTGAATCATTTTAGAAATAAACTCACACAAATGAAAACGGTCACACACAAAACAGAACAAACCAAATTGAGTCATCGGCCCAAAATAAAACTGATTATCTGAAGAATCAGAATCACACAAACTGAACTTTGTGAACGAAACACAAACGAAACACAAACGAAACACAAACGAAACAAACGAAACACAAACGAAACACAAACGAAACACAAACGAAACAAACGAAACACAAACGAAACACAAACGAAACACAAACGTCCGACTCCATTTTGTGTCGTTTTATTTCATTTTTTTATTTTCCTGGAGCTGCCGACGCCGGTTCGACCTGGAAAAGAATCGTTAAAATCTCCAAAACTAAAGCAGCACAAACGACTGACAGTTTTAGTTTTTGTGTAGTTTTAGTTTTTGTGTAGTTTGTGTTTTTGTGTACTTTGTGTTTTTGTGTACTTTGTGTTTTTGTGTACTTTGTGTTTGACGGAGGCGACGTCGTGGAGCTGAGCTGAGTGTTGGGCGGTGCTCTGAAGGGGGAGTGAGTTAGAGCTGGGAGCACAGGGACTTGAGTGGTCGTGGTCATTTTTTTTTACCCAAATCCTTTTTCTTTTCATGAACCTGCCCCCTCCCCTCGTGCCCCCACGTGCCCCCCCCCTCGTGCACGCCCCCCCTCGTGCACACCCCCCCTCGCCCCCCCCTCGTGCACACTGGTTTTTCAGGTCTGGGCGGTTTTTAAAGGATCAAAAGGACAGAAACAAGGCCTGAAACAGACCCGGTTTAGTCCGGGTTTAGATCCTGGTTTAGATCCTGGTTTAGATCCTGGTTTAGATCCTTGTTTAGACCTGGTTTAGATCCTGTTTAGTCCTGGTTTAGACCTGGTTTAGGCCTGGTTTAGACCTGGTTTAGATCCATGTTTATTCCTGGTTTTATTCCTGGTTTAGTCCTGGTTTACATCTGGTTTAATCATATTTTAGCCCAGTTTCGACCTGTTTTAGTCCTGGTTTAGTTCTGGGATAGTCCTGCTGTTGGACTTTGTGTAGTCCTGGGTTAGACCTGGCTTAGTCCCTGGTTTATTGTTGGTTTAGTCCAGTTTTCATGCTGATCTACGTCTGGGTTTAGTCTCTTTTAGTCCTTGGGTGGCTGTGATTCAGTCCTGGTTCAGTCCTGGTTCAGTCCAGTCCTGGTTCAGTCCTGGTTCAGACCTGGTTCAGACCTGGTTTAGTCCAGCTTTAGACCTGGTTGAGTTCTTCCGTCGTCTCCGTGTTGATGTTTTTTCTGGGGTTTATTTTCGGACACATTTGCATCGTGGAATTCTTCAGGGTCGTGTCCAGACCTGCTCCAGGACTCCACAGGAAGAGTTCAGGAAAAGGACTGAACCAGGACTAAACCAGGGTCTAAATCAGGACTGAACCGGGACTTAAGCAGGACTTAAGCAGGTCTAACACGCTGCCTATCACAGGACTAAACCAGAACTAAAACAAGACTAACACAGGCCTAAACAGGGCTCAAATATGATGAAAATATGACTAGACCTGGGGGGGGACCTGGGGGGAGGACCTGGGGGGGGGGGGGGGACCTGGGGGGAGGACCTGGGGGGGAGGACCGGGGGGGGGACCGGGGGGAGGACCTGGGGGGAGGACCTGGGGGGGGAGGACCTGGGGGGGAGGACCTGGGGGGGACCTGGACCTGGGGGGGGGGGGGAGGACCTGGGGGGGAGGACCTGGGGGGAGGACCTGGGGAGGGCATCTGGTTTGTTTCTGAGCTTGTTTGTTTTTCAGGGGGAGTCGGTGAAATATTTCTTGGATAATCTGGATAAGCTTGGAGAGCCGGTGAGTTACCACACGACCTGGACTGGACCTGGACTGGACCTGGACTGGACCTGGACTGGACCTGGACTGGACTGGACTGGACTCGAACCTGGACTGAATCTGGAGTGAACTTTGAACTTGAACCTGGGACTTGAACCAAGGATTTAAACCGTAGATTAAAACAGTTCTGAACCAGGTCTAGAACTGTACTAGACCTAGTTTAAACCTGGACTCTAAATCTGATCCTGGACTCAAACCTGGACCGAGACATGGACCCAGACTCAGACTCAGACTCTGAACACTGACCCCAGATTCTGCCTTAAGTCTGGACTCTGGACTTTGGATCTGGACTCTGGACTCTGGACACCTGGACTCTGGACTCTGGACTGTGGACCCTGGACCCTGTGGACTCTGGACCCTGGACTCTGGACTGTGGACCCTGGACTGGACTGGACCCTGGACTCTGGACCCTGTGGACTGTGGACCCTGGACTCTGGACTGTGGACTCTGGACTCTGTGGACCCTGGACCCTGGACTCTGGACTCTGGACCCTGGACTCTGGACTCTGTGGACCCTGGACTGGACCCTGGACCCTGGACTCTGGACCTGGACCCTGGACTCTGGACCCTGGACTCTGGACTCTGGACTCTGGACCCTGGACTCTGGACTCTGGACCCTGGACTCTGGACCCTGGACCCTGGACTCTGGACCCTGGACTCTGGACCCTGGACTCTGGACCCTGGACTCTGGACCCTGGACCCTGGACTCTGGACTCTGGACTCTGGACTCTGGACTCTGGACTCTGGACTCTGGACCCTGGACCCTGGACCCTGGACCCTGGACTCTGGACCCTGGACTCTGGACCCTGGACTCTGGACTCTGTGGACCCTGGACCCTGGACCCTGGACCCTGGACTCTGGACCCTGGACTCTGGACTCTGGACCCTGGACTCTGGACCCTGGACCCTGGACTCTGGACCTGGACCTCTGGACCCTGGACTCTGGACCCTGGACTCTGGACTCTGGTGGACCCTGGACTCTGGACTCTGGACTCTGGACTCTGGACCCTGGACTCTGGACTCTGGACTCTGGACTCTGGACTGGACTGGATGTGTCAGACGCGGCAGTGAAACCTGATCTGGGCGTTGGCGTTGGCGTTGGCGCTGCCGTGGGGCGTTGGCGTTGATCGATCAGTCCGACCTCGGGGACTGGAGATGGATCGTGGAAAGTCTGAGCCGCGGCAGGAACCTGATCCTGGACCAGATGAGACTTAATCTGATTCTGAGTCTGAAGAATCACGTCCTGCTCCAGTCGATACAAAAGACTGAGACCGAGACCGAGACCGAGACCGAGACTGAGACTGAGACTGAGACTGAGCCGGACCAGAAGAAACTGGAAACATCTCCTGAACCTTTGACCCTTTGACCTTCTGACTAGAGCCCGACCGATATGGATTTTGCTGTGGCCGATATGAAACCGATATAATGGGATTTTTAGCTGCCGATATAATCGCCGATATATTTAGTGATGTAAAAATTCACTGTAAATGTTGAATTGTTTAAAAAACTTAGGTTTGGCTCTGGTGGATTTTAAATTGGGTTTTTTTAGGCAACATTTATTGTTATTCTGACTCTTTACATCATATTTACAGACAGAAGTTCGGCCTAATGGCATTTTTGCATCACATTCTAGACACTAGTGATGGGTTTTCCAGTTCTTTTTAGAGAACCGGCTCTTTTGGCTCGGCTCACTAAAAGCTGCTGGTTCTTTTGGCTCCCAAGTGGCTCTTCAGATTGTTTTGTTGCAAACAGGACTAAAGCAGGACTAAACCGAGACTTACTTATTTTATGCTAAACTACAGCCAAATATGCTCATGTTTAGTTTTTTTTTTATCCTACGCACACGCAAATTTCTTAGTTTTGTTTTGAGCCGCTGCCGCTGTCAAACCACGAGTCTGTACGCGGCGTGAAGAGAAAAAAAGTGAGAGAAAGAGAAAACACGGCTCCCAATGAGGATCAGGCTCCCGTCGTTCGCTTCAAAGATCCGGATCTAAGAGCCGCTTCGTTCGTTCGTGACCGACTCATCACTAGTAAAGAAACTAGCGCTATTAGCCTTTAGCCGTAAATGCTGCGCGCCGCGGTAATTAATTATATGCGCAAATGTCATAATTCACACGTCTATTCACAGCTCATTTACATATCAGTGCAGGTCCAGTAACAAATATACGAACAATATAATCACTTTACAATAGACCAACAGAAAACAGTCTGTTTATGTGCAGGAGCTACAGCAGCTAACCCATAACAAATGACAAAAACTAACTTCAAAGTCGACATATTTCAACACTCAGACTCACACAGGCTCCTCCCACATCACACAGGCTCCTCCCACAGGCTCCTCCCGCATCACAAGTCTGAACTAATAAATGTCCTTTTAATCCAGACTCAAACCGATCGTCCGTAAAAAGAAAATAATCTCAGTGTTTGGATCTGTGTCTGCAGGTGTAAACAAACACATGAGTGACATGACTCTGTGGTGTGTTCAGGGACAGGACGTGACTCTGTGGTGTGTTCAGGGACAGACGTGACTCTGTGGTGTGTTCAGGGACAGTACGTGACTCTGTGGTGTGTTCAGGGACAGTACGTGACTCTGTGGTGTGTTCGGGGACAGTACGTGACTCTGTGGTGTGTTCGGGGACAGTACGTGACTCTGTGGTGTGTTCGGGGACAGTACGTGACTCTGTGGTGTGTTCGGGGACAGTACGTGACTCTGTGGTGTGTTCGGGGACAGTACGTGACTCTGTGGTGTGTTCAGGGACAGTACGTGACTCTGTGGTGTGTTCAGGGACAGTACGTGACTCTGTGGTGTGTTCGGGGACAGTACGTGACTCTGTGGTGTGTTCGGGGACAGTACGTGACTCTGTGATGTGTTTAGGGACAGTACGTGACTCTGTGGTGTGTTCAGGGACAGTACGTGACTCTGTGGTGTGTTCAGGGACAGTACGTGACTCTGTGATGTGTTCAGGGACAGGACGTGACTCTGTGGTGTGTTCAGGGACAGTACGTGACTCTGTGGTGTGTTCAGGGACAGGACGTGACTCTGTGGTGTGTTCAGGGACAGTACGACACAGACAAATGACTCCACAGATAAATACTAATGTGGAGTCACATATTTGTACATTTATTGTGTCTGTAAATTGGATTAAATGAACAGAATGTAAAGAGTCTAAGATTTATAACGACGTATCACATGACCACGGGAAATATCGGCCCATATCAGCAAATATACCGATATATCGGTTTGGCCGATATTATCAGCCGATATGGGCAACTGGGGCATATCGACTATCAGCCGATAATATCGGCCAAACCGATATATCGGTCGGGCTCTACTTCTGACCTCCACCAAACCACTCTCTCTCAGATGCTCCTCATGTTCGTTGTCTTTTCTCTCATTGTGGTTGTACTCTCTCTCTCTCTCTCTCAGATGTTCTCCTCAGTTGTTCTCCTCATGTCTCTCTCAGATGCTCATTGTCTCTCTCTCTCTCAGTTGTATCTTCTCTCTCTCATGATGTATCTTCTCTCTCTCAGATGTTCGTTGTGGTTGTATCTTCTCTCTCTCAGATGTTCTCCTCATGTTCTCTCTCTCTCATGTTCGTTGTGGTTGTATCTTCTCTCTCTCAGATGTTCCTCCTCATGTTCGTTGTGGTTTTATCTTCTCTCTCTCAGATGTTTCTCCTCATGTTCGTTGTGGTTTTATCTTCTCTCTCTCAGATGTTTCTCCTCATGTTCGTTGTGGTTTGTATCTTCTCTCTCTCAGATGTTCCTCCTCATGTTCGTTGTGGTTTTATCTTCTCTCTCTCAGATGTTTCTCCTCATGTTCGTTGTGGTTTTATCTTCTCTCTCTCAGATGTTTCTCCTCGTGTGTTTTCTCTCTCTGGTCAGAACTACCTTCCGAGTCAGCAGGACATCTTGTTGGCGCGTAAACCCACCCGAGGGATCCACGAGTACGACTTCGAGATCAAGAACGTGCCTTTCAAAATGGTGGACGTGGGGGGTCAGAGGTCGGAGCGGCGGCGCTGGTTCGAGTGTTTCGACTCCGTCACCTCCATCCTGTTCGTGGTGTCGTCCTCCGAGTACGACCAGGTCAGTTCACTCCACGCAGACGTCATTTAGTTTGTTCACACGTCACGTCTCTGTCCACGTCTGTAAACACACGACTTGATCCAGTCGAGACGTAACGGAGGAAACAGGCAGATGTTTGACATTTAAACTCTTCAGAAACTAGAGACAACAGGCCAGTGTCACTGCTGACAAACACGTTGCATGTTGGGAATTATTTTGGTCGGTGGCAAGAAACACTAATTCAACATGACGGACGGAGCGAGAAAACAAGTAAAGGGTATTGATCCTGGTTATTGATCCACTGTAACGGCAGACGACCCAAGAACATTTGACCAGAAACTGGTCATAAACATCGACGGACGAAAAATCACCCTTTTCAACCCCGACAGAACCTGGACCAAACCAAACTTCTGGTCAGAATCTCCAACTCCCTGGACAAATATTCACTTGGGCGACATCCACAATGACTTGGTGGAAACTCCTGGGCCATTCACAGCAGAAAAGATGAAAACCTCCAAGAGTCTGGATGTGTTGTTGAACTTGTTGAGTCCACGGTTTGTTAGGATCTTCTACGTTTGCTCTGCGGATGTTTGAAAGTCGTTTAATTCACCGTTAGTGGTTCTTTTCACTCAGAATACGAAAAAGACATTTTCCTTCTTCCATGTTTCTATTTGTGCATCTGATAATGCAGCAGGAATTTACCATCAGGGAGAAATACACGAGGTTACACACTGTGTTTGACGCTACCGTGTTTCTGCCTCCGACCAAAATATTTCCCAGCAGCAACGCGGGTTTTTAATAACAATGACGTCAGGCTCAAACTCGACTATTGAAATAAGTAAAGTATCAGAATGTAGGAAAGAGTTACACTCCAACAGGGTCAAGTTAAACCTGTGAGATTCTTTCAAGTTCAAGACAAAAAATGTAAAAACTCATGTCGGTAACGGAGGGAATGAAATATGCAGCACTTTTTGGTCAATAAATCCAAACAGTGATAAACTCTTGGTTCTCACTTCCATATCCTTAACAAACTGGTTTGAATATTTGCTTCATATAGTTTTCTACCATATGGTACAAGATTAGGTTGAAAAACCTCTGACTTTTTGACTCATGAGATTTTTTATTAAGAAAGTTCATGGTAACGGAGGGAAAAGTAACGGAGGGAAAATTGTACAAACAAGTAGAAGGTGCAGGATTTTACATCATTTGTCGCTTTTTTCTTCTGAAAACTTTAATATTACTTCAAAATGAAAGAAACTATTTCTATAAAATATGTCAGTCCTTCCAAGAACATTTTTATCATTTTAAATACCTTTTTTTTTTTAATCCTGTCCCTTCATCAACAGTTCAAAGATGGAATAACACAAGATATGATGAAATACAAACATTTATTTACAGGATTTTCAGGTCTGTGAAATTTGGGAAATAATTTTTGTTCCATGTTTCATTCATGGTCTGTTTAAAACAGATGGAACTTTACAACCAAAACTGGAACAGAAAAAAGGTCATATGTAGAGAACATATGTATCTGTTCAATACTGTTTTATATCAGAGGAATTAACTGGAAGTTTTGACCCACACACACACACACACACACACACACACACACACACACACACACACAACACACACACACACACACACACACACACACAAAACGCCGTCTTTTGTTGTTTTTTTTCACTGTTTTTGTTTGTTGTTTGTTCATTCTTTCTCATTCTTTTTTTTTTCGTTCATTATTGTGTTTGTTCTTTTGCTCATTCATTCTTTCGTTTTGTTCTTTCGTTCTGTTCTTTTGGTCATTTCATTCTTTTGTTTCATTTTTTCTTATGTTCTTTCGTTCTTTCTCTTCGTCCTGTTTTGCTCCTCGTTGTTTTTCCGCACGTGTCTGTTTCTGTTTTTGTTCTGAGTTTTTTTTTTCTTATCAGTTTTTCTGATAAACTCGAGTCCAGAAACGTGACGACGTTTACGAGACTCTAAAGTCCAACACGAGGAGACGACGCGTTTAGACGACGTCTTTATCCGACGCGTTTCTCCGTCCTCTGGTCTTTGACGCTGAGCAAACGTCTAAAAAAACAAAAAAATCAAAACTCGAGCCTCATGTTCCTCACGTCTGAAGAGCAGAACCTTTAGAACGTTTCCTGAAAGTGTTTAGAACAAAATGGATCAGAACAAGAATAAGACACAGGGACGAGAACAAACACACTGTCCACCTGTCCCCCTGCCCCTGTCCCCGCCCCCCCCCACCACCTGCCCCCCCCCTGCCCCCTGCCCCCCCACCACCCCCCCTGCCCCCCACCACCTGTCCCCCCTGCCCCCACCACCTGCCCCCTGCCCCCACCACCTGTCCCCTGCCCCCCCCTCCCCGCCCCCCCCCCACCACCTGTCCCCTGCCCCTCCCGCCCCCCCCCCCACCACCTGTCCCCGCCCCCTGCCCCCACCACCACCTGACAGAAGGACCAAAAGGAGAAAAAAAAGGAAAAAACTACAGTTTTCTTCATTATTTGTCTCCAAAACCAAAATGAAAAAACAGAAAATGATTAGATTTTTTCAGTTTTCGATTTTGTGTTTAAATGAAAAATGGAAAAAACTGAAAACTGACTAAACCAGGTCTGACTGAACCAGGTCTAAACCAGGACTAAACCAGGTCTAAACCAGGTCTAAACCAGGACTAAACCAGGACTTGAACCAGGACTGAACCAGGACTGAACCAGGACTACCAACCAGGACTAAACCAGGTCTAAACCAGGACTCTACTCAACCAGGAACCAGGTCTAAACCAGGTCTAAACCAGGGACTAAACCAGGACTAAACCAGGACTAAACCAGGACTAAACCAGGACTAAACCAGGACTAAACCAGGACTAAACCAGGACTAAACCAGGACTGAACCAGGACTGAACCAGGACTGAACCAGGACTGAACCAGGTCTAAACCAGGTCTAAACCAGGTCTAAACCAGGACTAAACCAGGACTAAACAAGGACTAAACCAGGTCTAAACCAGGTCTAAACCAGGTCTAAACCAGGACTAAACCAGGTCTGAAACCAGGACTGAACCAGGACTAAACCAGGTCTGAACCAGGACTGAACTAGGAGTGTGGGGATGACCCTGGAGATGCGCCCGTGCAGACTGTTGGGTTGGGTGATCGGGACAGAACCGAGACCGGAACAGAGACTGAAACTGAGCTCAGGACCAGGACTGAGACTGGAACTCAGACCAGCACTAAGACCGGGGCTGAGACCGTTTTAGTCTTGTTTTAGTCTTGTTTTAGTCCTGGTTTAGTCCTGGTTTAGTCCTGGTTTCGTACTGGTTTAGACCTGGTTCAGTCTATTTTCAGTTTTTGCCATTTTTGATTTAAACACAGAATCCAGAAATGAAAAAATGAATCATTATCTCTTTTTTTCCTTTTGGTTTTGGAGACGGATAAGGAAGAAAATATTAGTTTTTTTTCATTTTCTTATTTTTGGTTTTATTTTGAAAAACGCCTCTTCACTGCTGATAACCTTCTTCTCTCTCTTCTTCTCGTCCTCCTTCTTCGTCAGGTTTTGATGGAGGATCGTCAGACCAACCGCCTTCGAGAATCGCTGAACATTTTCGAGACGATCGTCAACAACCGCGTGTTCCTCAACGTCTCCATCATCCTGTTCCTCAACAAGACGGACCTGCTGGAGGAGAAGGTGAAGCTGGTGCCGCTGAAGGACTATTTCCCGGAGTACAGCGGGCCGGAGCACAGCCTGCAGGACGTGCAGAAGTTCATGGTGGAGTGTTTCCGAGCCAAACGCCGCGACGCCACCCAGAAACCGCTCTACCACCACTTCACCACCGCCATCAACACCGAGAACATACGCCTCGTGTTCCGGGACGTCAAGGACACCATTCTCCACGATAATCTCAAACAACTCATGCTGCAATGACCGGAGGGGCCGGCGGGGGCGGCGGGGGCGGCGGGGCGGCGCCCGGGCGGGGCAGGGGGCGGAGGGAAGGGGTCAGAGGTCACAGGTCACAGAGAGAGCGAGGGGGAGGGGCTTAGGCGCGTGTGGGCGTCGCCTTAAACGGAAACTGAGAAGGTTCAAAAAGAGAACGGACGGGTCTAAACCGGGTCTAAAACTGGTCTAGAACTGGTCTATAACTGGTCTAAAATGAAGGCTAAAGCCAGGTCTAAACACGGTCTCAAAACAGGTCTAAACCAGGTCTCGACCAAGTCTAACTTGGATCTAAAACCAGAGCTAAACCAGGTCTAAACCAGGTCCTAAACTGAGTCTAAACCGAATCTAAATCAGGTTCTAAACCAGGGCTTAAACCGGGTCCTGAACTAAGGTCTAAACCAGGTCTGGACCAGGTCTGACCCAGGCACTAAACCAGGTCTAAAACCAGGTCCAACCCAAGTCCAAAAGCAGATCTAAAACCAAGTTGATCTTAGTCCTAATCCAGGTCTAAAACCAGGTCTGGACCAAGTCTAAAACCTGATCTAAACCAGGTCTAAATCAGGTCTAAACTGGGTCCTAAACCAGGTTTGACTCAAGTCCTAGACCAGGTCTGAACCAGGACTTTCATATTTTCAGAACAAATTATTTAATTTTTTAATTTAAATACAATTTTTTACTTAAAACGTGAAGAAAAAATCCAAACGAGTAAAAGTCGAGTCTTTGTAAAGACCGAATTTATTTTTCACTGTGACAAAACTAAAAAAGAACAAAAAGAGACGTCCAAGAAACTAGACCAGGACCGGACCAGGACCGGACCAGGACCGGACCAGGACCGGACCAGGACCAGGACCGGACCAGGACCGGACCAGGACCGGACCAGGACCGGACCAGGACCGGAGCCTCTGTTGTTTCCTGTAGGTGAACGTTCGTTGGCTTTTCGTTCATATTTGGATGTTTTCGAGTGTAAAAGTGTAAAACTTCAGGTCGTAGTCGAGTCGTTCTCTGGACCTGCTCCTCTTCCTCCTCTTCCTCCTCTGACCTTCTGGAGTTTTGCGTTTCTACCGGAGCCTCTCGGGGACAAACAGGTCGTGTGTGAGACTCGAGTTCGACGCAGCAGAACTTCGCCCGCCGGGTTTTTGTAGATTTGACTTTTCGCTTCACGGGGCTAAAAACTCACAGCAGCAAAAAGTTTAACACGAACCAGGAGCCAGAGCGAAAAAAACACGAGCAGAACCAAATAAAGACGAGAAATTTAACAACAAAAACACAAATAACAGACTTTTATCGACAAGTTTGAACAATAAAAACACTGACCAAATAATCTGCAATGTTGACAAATTCTCTTTCAAATTTTCACAAAACACAATTTGAATGACGATGACAATATTTTTTTTGTTTCTACACTTTGTCAACTCAGGAACATGTTTAAACTATTTAAAAAAAAGTTTCTTTGACCAAATAATCTTCAGATTTGGCAAATTCTGCTTCAAATTTTGCACATTTTGAAATTTAAATTTCAGCAAGAATTTTTTTCCTACACTTTTTAGAGACTTGGGAGCAAAAATGTCTCATAATGAACCAAGTTTGAACATAAAACCAAATAAGCTTAAAATTTGACAAATTCTGCTTCAAATCTTCACATTCTGAGAAAACAATTTGAATTTCAATGAAGATTTAAAAAATGTCTTCACTTTTTAAAGACTTGAGAGCAAAAAAATATCTTAATGAACTAAATTTGAACTATTAAAACGTATTTTTTGACCAAATAATTCTCAAATTTGACAAATTCTGTTTAAATTTTTAACATTTTGAAACCACAATTTGAATTTCAACGAGGATTAAAAAAATTTCTAAACTTATTAAAAATTGTAGAAGTAAATAAATTGCCTTAAAGAGGGAAATTAAACATGAAAAACCTGACTGAGGAGATTTTCGACTCATCCACATGAAACTGGACACAGAACCGGACAGAACCGGACAGAACCGGACAGAACCGCTCTGGCTCCTGGTTTGAAAATGGACTAAAATAGCGTCAGTCTTAAAAAACGTTTATAACCACTAGTTTCAGTTTCTTTAAAGCTCAAATCCTGAAGCCGAGCGAGAGACGAGAGCCGAGCTTCATCCACATTTACACTTTAAACCTTCTAAAGTTCTAACGTCGTTTCCTCGTCTGTAGAACTTCAGAACTCGACCAGAACTTGACCTGAACTTGACCTGAACTCGACCTGAACTCGACCTGAACTCGACCTGAACTCGACCTGAACTCGACCTGAACTCGACCTGAGGCTCACAGGGTTCAGTTTCTGTCGCTCAGGTTTTAAATCGTGTTTTTAATCCAAAATTCACCAGAAAAAAATTTTTAAAAATCTAATCACCGACATAAGCTTTGGATTTAGGATCGAAAATTCAAGTTAATGTTTTTTTTTTTTTTTTTTTTTTTTTTTTGCTTTTAAATGTATTTTTATGCCGAAAATCACTAATAAACCAGAACCAGGACTAAACCAGGTCTTAACCCGGTCCCAACCAGATCCAGAATGTAAACCAGGACTAAACTTGGGACAGAATCCAGTCTAAAGTAAAACCAAGTAAAACAGACCAGGGGACGAGACCAGTTCTCAACCCAGAACCAGAATCAAGGACGAGAACTAAACCAGGTCTGAACTTGTCTAAAGACGACCAGGGACTAGACCGGGGGACCAAATTGGGGACTAAACCAGGACTAAACTTTGGACAAAATCCAGTCTAAACCAGTTTGAAAACCAAGAACTAAATAAGCTCTGAACTTGGACCTAAACCGGGACTGAACCGGGATTAAACCGGGACTGAACCGGGACTAAACCGGGGACAAAATCCAGTCTAAAGTAAATCAGACCGGGAACTACACCAGTTCTTCAACCCAGAACCAGAACCAAGAACTAAACCAGGTCTGAACTTGTCTAAAGTAGACCGGGGACTAGACCAGGACTAGATTAGGACTAAACCAGGACTAGACGAGGACTAAGCGAGGTCTTAACCTGCTCCCAACACAGAACCAGAACCAGAACCAGTGACTAAACGAGAACTAAACCAGGTCTGAACTTGTCTAAAGTAGACCGTGGGACTAGACCGGGATTAAATTAGGACTAAACAAGAATTAAACCAGGACTAAACCAGGACTAAACCAGGATCTTTTAGTTTCTTCGGCCCTGAGCGTCTCTCTCGTCCCTGTGATCCAGATGGTTTAAAATCGAGGAACCGTTCAGATTTTTCTGGTAGGTTCTGTGGACTCGGCTCTTTTCAGCTCTCGCTCTTTATTTGTGTTTTTCCCGTTAATATTAACTCCACTTTTTCTAATTATTTAACCACGTTTGTTTTGCAGAACCACTGTCAGCTGTGCCATGTTCAGTTTCTCTCAGGGTTGACTCCACTTTTCTCGTGATTCGTATTTTGGTGTTTTTCTTGTCGTTGGTTCTCGTAGTTTTCGGCACCGGCCCCTTCGCGTCTCAAACCGGCTGGTACTTTTTTTTTTTTTTTTTTGGCATTCACCCGAAAATTCGCCCCTTAAAAAAAAAAGATGAGTTTTGTTTGTTTTTTTCCTGATTTTTAGCGTCTTTTGAAAGGGACACTCCCAGTTCTCGCCTTAATAATGAATGTGTGTTTATAGATGTACAGATTGTAGATTGAAAATGACCAGTGTGTCCAGCGAAGGTTTGACTCAGAGTTTTGGTCACGTTGACGCCGGGCTTTACGGTAAACTCAATTTTTACTTTTTAACGAACAATTTTTGCTCACAACTTGATTTTTCTTGTTTTTAAATCGACAAAGCTAAAAAAATTCTCTGCACTTCTGGTATTTTTATTTAAAGTTGGAGGTATTTTGCGAAATCTCTTTATATTTTTTGGTATTTTTCTAACGTCGTTCCTGCCTGAAGAGTTTTTAGACTCGTCCGTGCTTGTTTGAATCATCTAGAGATCTCTCCCGGGACCGTACAGGCTCGGTTCACGTTTGGAAACACGAGGAGGACGAGGAGTTCAGTCGGAGTTTAATTTAACAAAACGATAAAACTGTGGATTCAGCCGAAGCGTTTGTCAGAACTGTGGATCTACAGAACAGAACAACTTTTATTTATTTTTATTACATTAGACAAATTATAAAACACAAATTAACAGGCGATTTATTAAAGGAAAAAAAAAAACAGTGAAGTCGTCACCCGAATGTTTCCAAACGTCGTCAGGTGAACAGAGCCTCAACAAACCCTCTGCAGTACGAGTCTGTACGAGGCTCCGCCCAGATCAGTTCACAACCCAGTTCAGAAACCAAGGACTAAACAAGAACTAAACCAGGTCTGAACTTGTCTAAAGTAGACTGGGGACTAGACCAGGACTAAACTAGGACTAAACCAGGACTAGACGGAGCCTCTTCAAACCCTCAAACACTCAGCAGTACGCGTCTGTACGAGGCTCCGCCCCCACGTTCCCACACGGCCGCTCTCCATAAAAACACAAAAACACGACACAAACCCGTCGTGTGCGATTGTAGATTTTATTTATTTATTTTGCAGCAAAACAAAACGAGCCCCAAAGAGTCTGAAGGAAAAACAAACGACACGATTCTGAAAAAGAAAATCAGCGTCTGAACAGAAAGTTTGAGTTAATTTCACTCACGACTCACGACTCACTGTCAATACAAGAGACAAAATATGAGTTAAAACAAACTTTAATGCAGAGTTCATTCTGAACATCTTTAAAACAAAACTCTTAAATTTATACTTTATTTTTTTAAGGCTTCTACAGCGTCAGACTTTTATTTTTTTTAATCATCTGTCAAATTGTTCCATAAACTCTCCCCAAACACAAATACAACCACTTTTTTCTTAGTTCTTAATTTTTTTAAAGAAGATGCCAGTTTTTTTGTTTTGTTTTGTTTGTGTGCTCTGAAGGGGGAGTGACTTAGCACAGAGAGCAAACACGGTGATGTAAATATGTGATGTTACGGTTAATATCCCAGAGAAGTGAAATACCTCCTCTTTAACGTGTCTCAAATCTCCTAAAGTTAAAATTCCGATCTTTTTTTTTTTTTTCGTTCAAGCAGCAAAAAAATTGCACATTTTTGTATAATTTTTACATTTTTGCCTTTTTTTGTTTTTTTTTTTATTTTATCTTGGAGGTTGTGAGTTAAATTGCCTTTCACACTTCGCCTTAAAGAAAACAAACCTGTGTCCAAATACTCGGATACAGGAGGATTTGAGCGATTCCCAAACGAGACGACGACGTGGGATCTCGTTAAAACGACTTTTTAAATATAATAATAATTTTAATATTTAGTGTTTTTTGTGTTTGTGCTTTACCGTAAAGCCCGGTGTGGACGTGCAGGTGAATCTTGTGCTGAGTCTTGAAACAAAAGTGTCTTCCACTGTATCGCGTTTGTCACAGACGATTTAAAAAACCACTCGTTTAGTCTGAACTCGGATCATGTTTGAGAATCAGACGAGTTTGGTCCGATTTAAAAACCGAGAAAAGTCTTTTCTGTGAATCATGAAGCGAAAGGACGGGGCTCGGCTTTGGGACTAAACCGGGACTAAACCGGGACTAAACCAGGACTAGACTAGGCTCTAAAATAAACCAGGGACTACACCAGTTCTCAGCCGAGACCAAACCAGAACCAGGGACTAAACAAGGACCAAACTGGGATTAAACCAGGTCTTAACCCAGTCAGGGACTTGACAAGGACTGAACCAGGACTAGACTAGACTCTAAAATAAACCAGGTTCTAGACTAGTTCTCAACCCAGTCCAGACCAGAACCAGGGACTAAACAAGGACCAAAGTGGGCCAAGGACGAGACCGGACCCCCGAGACCGGACCCGAGACTGGACCCAAGACCGGACTCGAAACCAGACTCGATGGTATCTAGACCAGGACTAGACTAGATCATGACTGGACTCCATAATAAACCAGGGACTAGACTAGTTCTCAGCCCAGTCCAAACCAGGGACTGAACAAGGACCAAATTGGGCCAAGGACAAGACCAGACCCAAGACCAGACCCAAGACCAGACCCAAGACCAGACCCAAGACCAGACCCAAGACCAGACCCAAGACCAGACCCAATTTGTATCAAGACCAGGACTAGACTAGATCAGACTGTATCTAGACCGGGACTAAAGCCGGACTAAACCAGGACTAGACTAGTTCCGCCCCAGTTCTAAACCCTCTTAAGTCTTAAACATAAAACCGAACCAGACTCTCACCCAGGGCCTAAACCTGGACCAAAACCGGGACCAAACCAGGTCTACACCGTGAAACTTTCCGTCTTTAAAACCCACGTGGACTTTGTGGACTTTTCCTGGTTTGACTCGGACCAAACTCGGGCCGGTTCTGTGAGGCCAGGACTGTTCCTTCCTCTTGTACATACTGTAGCTGCGGCGCTGTAAATACCAGGGTCTCTTATGTAAATGGTTGTAGAAATGGCATATTGTTTCTGTCTTTTTGTTTTGTTTTTCTTGAATCATTTTGTTTTGTTTTTTTCCCCCAATGAAAATAATCATCGCTGTAGATTTATTTTTATGTAATTTTTGTTTTCAACACTTATTTTGAAATTCATTCCTGTGTCAAACTCATGCCACTGTAACCTATCAATAAATACACTTTTCTAATGAGCCCGGCCTCCCACAGACACTTTTTTTATTTAATTTAATTTAATTTTATACTAATTTCTGTGGATTTAATGAGAAATTATTTAAATCTTCTCGGATCTTTGTCCATGTTCTTGTAGCTTCTTCGTTTTCATGATTTTAAATGTCACAATTAGAACAGAACGATCCACATGCACACTATAAGTCTTAATTAAAATATTGTATAAGAATAAAACACACATGATGGTTAAATTTTTGTGTGTTAAATATTCTGTCCATGGATTTCTGAATGAAAATTTAAGTCCTAAGATGTTGTCTATACCAAAAAGCTGATAAATATACTATAATTTACTATAACAGGTTTACACTGTAACAAACTACATTGAAATAAGCGTCAGCAGTGCAAATATTAGATAAAAATTTTAGACAAAATACAATTTAAGTCCAGTTTTGTCATTTTTAGGCTCCCACCAGTTGAAATTATCCAGTTAATTTTCATCCCTGAACTACCAATTTTGACATTTCACTATAATGAGAATTTAATTTCACAAATAATCACGTTGTTTTTACTTTTTAAGCTTATTTACATAACACAAAAGCTGAATAAATCCTCTGAATTGTTACCAGATATCCTTTATTCAGACGAGACTCCCAAAGTCCGATTTAAAAAAAAACATAAATAAAAAATAAACCGCATTTAATTATATATTATGTTTTATCAAACGCTAAACAATAATAACTTATTCTTGACCAATTTCGTAACTAGTCCATCACATTCTTACATTTTATTCTCTCTATTTATGAGTTCAGTTTGATCAAATTAACAAAACCGGTTCATGTTTGAAATCTCTCCGTAATAAATCGTCTCTGGTCTCCGTCTCTATGGCAACAGCGCCTTCTGCACATGCGCATTTCGCTCAAGGCGGCGGGACAGACCGGTACAATCCCCAAATAAAACTCTTTAAATCCTCGAATTTTCCATGCGAAAAACATATTTAAATCCGTTACAGCTTGTGGTAGTTTTATAAAATAACATTCAATCTCACATATTCTTTATAATTTTCTCTAAACGGGCGGAATAGTTGATTTTTTATTTTTTTATTTTTATTTTTTGTGTGGTATTTTGGTTCAGGCGGTGCCGGGGCAGCCTGTGGGGGCTTTCCTCTCGCCGCGGACATGAAAACAACACAAACACGTTCGAACTTTTATCTCACATTTCAGACTTTTTTTCTTTAAATTCTCCGTTTCTTTCACTTTTCTGCTTCAAACAAGTGGAACGAAGAACGAGCTGTGCCGGAATCAAACAAAATGAGCTCCGGTGAGTGGAAGGTCATTTAATAATATAATAATAATAATAATAATAACAGTGTTGGGAGTGTTACTTTTAAAATGTAATCCCCTACAGATTACAGATTACATACACCAAAATGTAGTTTGTAACGTAATCCATTAAATTACTTAAAGTGAGTAATGTAATCTGAATACTTTGGATTACTTGATATTGTCCTGCTTTATAAAACTACATGAATGTATCAACCACATCCTGAAAATTCTTGTTTGTTTTCTTCAAATTGTCTGTTGAGTCCAAGTCTCCATGAACAGACTTTTGTTTTACTGAAGAGAAACAAAGACGAGGATCTGAACATGAGAAGTTTTATCTGATAAAATAAAATAAAAAGCCCAGACTTTACTTAAACATATTAAAAATATTATTGATAGAAAAATGCTTTATATATGAGACACTGCGGCTTTAAATTATGTCCAACGACTGTTAGTGTCATAATGTTTAGTCCTGGTTTCAGTCCTGGTTTAGTCCTGGGTTTAGTCCTGGTTTTAGTCCTGGGTTTAGTCCTGGTTTTAGTCCCGGTTTTAGTGGTTTTAGTCCGGTTTTAGTCCGGTTTTAGTCCTGGTCCTGGGTTTAGTCCTGGTTTTTAGTCCGGTTTTAGTCCCGGTTTTAGTGTTTTCCTGGTTTTAGACCTGGTTTAGTCCTGGTTTTAGTCCTGGTTTTAGTCCCGGTTTTAGTCCTGGTTTTAGTCCTGGTTTAGTCCTTGTTTTACTTCTGGTTTAGTCCTGGTTTTAGTCCCCGTTTTTGTCCTGGTTTTAGTCCTGGTTTAGTCCTGGTTTAGTCCTGGTTTTAGTCTGGTTTTAGATCTGGTTTAGTCCTGGTTTTAGTCCCGGTTTTAGTCCCGGTTTAGTCCTGGTTTTAGTCCTGGTTTAGTCCTGGTTTTAGTCCTGGTTTATTCCTGGTTTAGTCCTGGTTTAGTCCTGGTTCAGTCCTGGTTTTAGTCCTGGTTTAGTCCTGGTTTAGTCCTGGTTTTAGTCCTGGTTTTAGTCCTGGTTTAGTCCTGGTTTTAGTCCTGGTTTTAGTCCTGGTTTAGTTCTGGTTTAGTTCTGGTTTAGCCCAAAATGTAAAAACAGTTAAATCCCTCTGTGTAATCCATTTATTTCAACAAAGTAACTGTAATCCAATTACCACTCACTGAAACAGTAACTGTAACTGAATACAGTTACTCATCATTTGTACTCTGATTACATAACTCCTGTACTTGTAATCTGTTACTCCCGACACTGTGTAATAATCCAGTTTGTGATAAAAATGGTTGGAGCTTCACATCAGGACTCAGACTCTTCTTCACTTTACTTCATGTTTTAGTTTTAACACTTCTACACGAGGATGGTCCATTAACGGGAAAAAAAATAAAAATAAATAAAGTTTCAGATCATCTCGATTAGAACTCTGCATTAGGTTTTAGCATAAAAAAAAAAAAAAGATTTAGGAAGAAAAAGGAGATGTTTCAGAGGAGCTCGA